TATGTAGTGTGGAGGTGTATGTACATTAGGGTGGTCCTTATAAAAATCAAATGAACGATTTTTTTCCAGTCTCACTCCCTCAATCGGTAATACCACGGCCACAGATATCACATACAACTTTTGGTTCTGATTGGAGACGGTTAAGGACTCTTCAATAGAGACTCAAAAAATTTAAATTCATTTTTCTCCATCTAATAACCAAAATCGATACTACCATAGTCGAAGATATCACGTATAAATTTTGGTCCCGATTGGAGTCGGTTAAGGCGTGTCGCAAAGGGGCCAGAAGCCTCTATGGAGGCTCAGAGAGGTAAAAATATTTGTTTCATTTAATAACCAATATCTACCTAAGATATCACATACAAATTTTGGTCCCGATTGCAGTCGGTTAAGACGTTTTCATAGGGTAATCTGAAGTGTGACCCCTGTGAGACACGCCTTAACCGTCACTAATCGGGACCAAAATTTATATATGTTGTCTTCGAATATCGACATCATCGACGTAGGGGTTGAGGCTTCGGAAATCTGATGTAAAAATTTACTTCCTGCATTTAAGGACCACCCTAATGCTCAGAGCTATGGATGTGTAAACGCAACTCTATATGACTATATACATTGTACATACAAACATATGTACATATTTAGATTTTAGGGGGAAGAGGGATGAGTAGAAAAAAGATCCAGGTAAAAATGAGTGAAACTCAGATTTCCATTTCACCTCACGTTTTGCTCAATAGCACGAGTATGTAAGGAAATTATTTTATTTAGATGGTTACAACTATAACTACACTTGAATTTTAAAAGTGTTCAAAATAAGTGCGCTTAATTTTTTTTTTTGTTATTAATTTCGATTATATTAAAGGTATTTTACAGCATAAATCTAGAACGGATCGCCCTATTTGAGCTGTCTATTGCTTCGTGTTGTAGAAACTGATTTTCCTTAGATTTTGTGTAGAGAATTTTGCATTTTTAACCGTTTAAAAAAAAGGAGGAGGTTATCAATTATTTTTTTTTAATTCGTTTATGTACATATGTTACCGCATAACTTTAGAATACGTTAACGGATTTCTATAATTATTTTTTCTTAAGAAAAGGTGGTATCACAGCGGTGGTCCGATAAATTGAAATAGTTGCCCAAGTTCAAAACTGTATCAATGCTATAATATTATGCACGTTAGGTTAGGTTGGAGTGCTTTGTAAATCCCATTTACAGACGCTAGATATGAAAAAGATATGATTTAATTTTGATCAAAAATATAAAATGAGAACGCTTGCATTTCTTGTGCCACAATCTGCGTCAAGTGAGAAGTGTCGTGAATACCCGATTGCATCGACCCGCTGCACCAGTAAGTACATGCACATATGTATGTATCCTGTGTTATGATTCGCCCAATGGATGTGATTTGCCAATATATTACAATGCATTCAAGTTTTATTGGGAGACACACGCATTGAGTTAAGTGCAGCGGTCAAAGTAAAATTACCATCCTCAGATCAAACACCAGAACCATTACGCGCCCTTATTTATGGCGGATTACCAGAATAAAGACAACTCTTGATGAATGCCCACAAATACAATAATTATACAGTCTATGTACTCACATATATACGCGGCCGCTGTGTTGTGGAATGGCGGTGTGCATTACCATTCCGCAGGGTCTAGGTTCGATCCCTGTTTCCCACCAACATAAAAAAATAAAACTTAAAACAGTTTTTTGTAATAGCGGTCCACCTCCGAGTGTGTTTTCCATGAAAAACAGCTTCTAATAAAAATACAATCGCCATTCGTAATCGGCGTAGAACTTTAGGTTCCTCCCCTTTGTGTGACAACATCAATTCGCTCTAAACCGAAGCCTTTATATTCCTGAGCAGTGTAGTGCCTTCTTTGTCTCTAAGTCCTTGTCGATCTTAAGAGAACTTACGATTCATTACAGGTAGTGGGATATGTTCTCAGATGGTCAGAAATTCAGGCTTTCAGGGTGGTATGAAAAAGCGCGTGCTACCTTGATTATAGCAGATCAAAGACATTTCACCTGGTAAAAAAAACCAAGAGTAGAGGTTTTTAGGCTCGTAACAAGTATCACAAGTTCCATGCCTCTAGAATAAGACTTCCTCACAGTACCTCTCTGCAGGTTAGTGTGCTCTGTTAGGATGACTGTCGCGCAAATGTTAAAATTTAACTCTTTCTCTGAAAAATATGTGAGTAAGTGTGCACATACATACATACATATCAAAATCAAACTCAATGCAAGGCGGGTGTTTCCAACGGCGGTGCTCCTCCAACTCAAGAAATGAGAATATTTGTCATTTAATTTTTTACCGTGTAATATTGCATTTACTAACGCAGTACTGAATGGCTTAAAGACTACGTTGACAGATAAATAGAGACAAAGTATAGCATAGTAAGTGCTGAAATAAAAAACCACCCGCTTCTTGGTGCTGTCGGTGAATTAGTGCACCTATCATCCCATCCCCTCAGCTGGCACCTGTAACATTTTGCGGTTGGTTTACGCTGACGACTACATACATAGCTAGCCGTGCACAGCGCACATCATTTTGCTGCTCAACTCTCAGCATGCCTGCACTTGTACTAAACATTTGTAAAAACCTTTATAAAAGCCAACAGAACAACACAACATTTTCAGTGCGAATTTGCATGGTGGTTGGTTGACTGAGATTGCTGAATTGTGCTAGCGGCAAAGAACCGGTGAACAGTGAAGAAGATGTAGTGCTTAACTAAATACAACAATTAACAACGCCAATTAGTCAAGCATTTTGAAAGGATGTATTGATTGGTTATGAAATGAAGTTCTAAGGATATCGTGTTGAATCGGGTGTGAAGAGTGTACAAATTGTGTGCAAATGTGAGAGAGATGAGTTTGAATGTACATACATATAAAAAGTAATCGGAAATATTTTCCAGTGTTTCGATAGGCATGTTAGAAACAATTAAAGAAGCCCTACAAGTGCAACGTGCAAAAATTTATGAAACAAAATCTCACTCACTCATACTTAGTGTGACCATCGGAAACAATTAAAAAGAAAGAAAATTCTAAGCGGGGTTTTTGACGAAAATAACGCGCATCCAATATTGCTCAACTTTTAGTCGTTGAGTGGTTGCTTGCTGAGAACAGCTGAATTCTTTCTATTTTTTTTTTAACCTAAATAAATTATCAAGTTTTATTTAGCTCTTGGCGAATAATTACTGACATAGCCAGTGTGGTGGTGCGCTGGATCTTTAACCGGAAAGTAGACGGCGTACTTGGAGCATTTGTACTATGCAAAACGTTGGATCCAAACCAGATATTCGTACGGATGATTTGGATTTAGCAAAAGTCGGTTCTGCTACGCCTTCGAGCGATTTTGATAAAACAACTACCACCCCACTTACTGATCCTACAAGTTCAGCCATTCAAGTTGGAACTAACAATCCCGAATGTGTTCAATCAGATCCTGAAACACGGCGAAAAAGTAAGGCACGTTCGCGCTTCACATCAGCATTGCGCAAACTTTCGGGCAGAAAGAAACGTGCATCGTCTAAAGATACCTCTACAGAAAGTTCGATAGCTGGCGGCACATCTGCTGAAATCGTATCGGCGCCCGAAACCGTTTTCTCCAGCGGCGGAGAAGAAACTGGCGACACCAATGCCACTGCGTCATCAGAGGCGAAACCCAAGAAAAAAAGCAAGCTAGCCAGACGCTTTTTGCTAGGCAGTTTAAAGAAATCAAAACACAGTGCTAAGAAAAGCATTGACGAAGATGACGAAGCAGTTGTAGTACAGGGCAGTCAGGAAGAGGCGCCATTTGAAGACGCAGATGACGGTGAATCGCCTCACGTAGATGTCGAAGAGCGTACAACACGTAAAGTGAAAATATCACTCAGTGAAACACAGCGATTTGCATTGCGAGAGCAAGAAGACGCTGCTGGCGAACAACAACAGTTAGCTGAAGGTGACGTCGGTACAGCAGAGACGGGCTCACCAACCGAAACGGATTATCTGACACCCGTTGGAGATAAAGCGCAGCCAAGTTACGAAATCGGCGTTGACGCAGAAGTGGTAACAACACCGGCGACGTCGGCGGAAGACAACATCACCGTTGCATCGCCCGCTAAAGGTGGCGCATTAAGCAAAAAGAAGAAGCTTAAAACTAAGAAGGGTACATTAAAAGAAGCTGCAGTGACCATAATAAAGACAACTGCCACCACTAAAAGTGGAAGCGTCAGCACTGCGCCCTCAACTTCTACACAGAAACACACAGCTGCAACTGTACAAAAAACTACACGAACAACAACTGTAACTACTGACGAAAAGTTCGTTATCACACAGAGTACGCGCGATACACCGCCGCGCGAGCGCGCTCCAGCCAAACCGAGTCGGCTACCTGCCGCTACCAACGCGCAGCCTCCAACAGCAAATCTAACAACGCCGACCAACACCGGCGGCGTCGTACGTAAAACCAATACTCGCACGCCGGCTACACTCACCTCGCCATCGTTGGGGCGTGAACAGCTTACAAGTTTCGGTGCAGTTAGTATAGCAGCAACCGTTGCGGGTAAGAGGCAACGTACAGCGAATAGCGGTAAAAACACAGCCACCAAGGCGGGTAGTAGAAGTCAAGCGTCGAGTAAACCGCCATCCAGTCCGCTTAGCACGGCTAGCAGTGCTACTACCACCACAACCAGCAGCGGCAGCAGTAGCGCAACGACAGCTAAGTCCAGAAAAACCGATACTGAATTGATGCAAACTTCGCAAAGCCCACTACAACGCGGCCATCGATTTCCTAAACCGAGTCCGACAACGTTAACTCCGGCGGGAGAAAACGTTGGTACAATAGCGGCGCCACAAGCGTCTGCGTCGGCTGCCACACAGTTAGCAAGTCGCAGTAACGTAACACCAAAGCTGGCAAGCCCAACAGCAACTCCAACAATAGAACAATCTGCCAATGAAGGAACCCTAACAACAGTTGAAGAAAACCGCACGAAGCCAACAAACGCCACTACCGTTTCATCAGACCCACAAGACGCGGTTGCCACCAAGGCGGACGAAACGGTTGGCGCTCAGTCTGGCGCATTGGAGGCAATTCAAAAGCAGATACAATTTCAATTAGAGTCTCACGCATCTATTAGTAATCAATTGTCGCAAGACGAATACCCACAACAACAACAACAACAGCGTAACCAACAGAAACTGCTAGTCGCACCACAACTCTCGGTGGACGATATCGCATCACCTCCGCAATCGTTGCAATCGAATGTATCACTGTCAGTTTACCATCAGCAGCAGCAACAGCAAGCACCGCCTTCGTACACTCCACCCTCCGTACCATCACATGGGAGTACAACGCTTGCCACACTACCAGAAACTCGATCATTGTCACATTTCCGTCACCCATCATCGACTAAAGTCATTTTTCCAGACCCAGGCATCTACAACGACGACGACGACGACAACGACGACTACACTTACGCGGACAAGTCAGAAGCATTGCTGTACATTGCTGACGAATCAGTTACACCAGCGAGCAGCAGTGGTGTAGACGACGTCGTTTCTTCGGCGGAAAGTGCACAACCAAGCGACTACTCGGGCAACAATATACGCTATCCCCCCAATTTGACAGGACACGCATTAAGAAGTGATTTTGGTGAGGAGGAGCAAACGCACGGCCCTCCTTTGCAGCCAACTGTACGTTTTGCCGTCGGCAGTGTGGTACGACCCCAAGCCACATCCTACGAAAGTCCTTTGCACGATCACAGTTCCTGCGACTCGAATCCTAGTAGCGACTCGCACAGCGAGGCTAGCCGTCGACGTATACGTTACGTTTCACAACCGGACACCTTTGATGAGGATACATTCGATAGCATACTGCAAAGACGCGAAAATTTAGGTTATAATCCGGGGGGACTACCTAGCGAATATTCGGTAGATTCAGAATACGATTCAGGCGATAATCAGATGCCGGCTTTTGGCGATTTAACCATGGAGCAGGAAGAGGAACCGGTAAGCGAGTGAAGCTACTAACTACAGAGATATTTATTTAAGAAAAGGGTGAGCAGTACGTCGAGTATTTGGCCTGGGTATGGCATGTGAGTTTGCAAGAGCGCAACAGTTGCTGGAAAGTAAATGTATTTGCGTCTATGTATGGCTGGCTATATGCATATACATATATGTTCATACAAAGGTGTGTATTGGATTCGAAGAAGCCCTGCAAGTGTTCAGCCTTTTTCTATCATTTCTATCGCATATTTTTCGTTGCGCCCGTAATTCGTGGTCATGGTTTGCCATGGAGACCACTGTTTTAGAGCGCTTTGCCTTTTACTGCCGCCATTTATTCACTATTTTGATTTATTCTATGTTTGTGCTGTGGGCATTCATTTAATTTGAATGTCAAGCAAATTTACCTCCGACGCCAGTGTTAGCCAGAACCGGCGACGGAAGGGTTGAAAACTCACAGCAGATTAGAATATGAAGGACTGGTTTGGAATTCAAATGAATTTAGTTTTTAGAGGAAAAATCACGCGATGCAGAAAGTGTAAATGAGTAAATTTAACAATAATTACAGGGTTTTTCCAAAATTTTTGTGGGATGCTGTGAAGGTTTCAAACTATATACTTTCATACATGTAAGGAGATCACGTCAATGCCGCGTCTAAAGTGTGAGTAGCTGTATGGTCAAGATAGTCGATCAAGTATGGGCAAACATTGTTTTAAGTGGTTTATTCTATTAGCTTTTTTGGTCCAAATTGAGAAAAGGCGGCTGCCACATTGAGCATAGCTGCTTCATAGGTTATATTATATGTAACGCGTGTTTCAACCGTTGTCTTGAGATCCTTATCGAGTAACTTTTCTCGAACAATTTCACTCTCTGATCTTTCATAAGCTCCTTCAGAGTAATCGTTTATTGGACAAGCAGAAGATGCACTAGTTTTTCGTGCGATTACAATCACGCTTAAATTCTCTCAAAAATAGCTGGAGAATGATGATAGCACATTGACTTTGTTCAACACCGCTTTAAACCTATATTAACCCATCCTTTTAAACAAGTAGCCTTTGAGGGCCTAACATACCACCATAGTTCCCCTCGTTGAGCACTGTCAGCGCTGTGTGGGGTACCCACTTCGGGTTACGCCATTTCGGTTTTGAGAGGTTTTCAAAAAAACTATACCATTTATGATACATGTATGTAGATAGGTAGTTATTTATGTTATTGTTCTAAGGTCTTTGACTTAAACTTCAGTTGTTTATTCCAGAGATATTTTTTGTACTTCCTCCTCTTTGGCCCATGAATTGTTTTTTCGGACTGGTCGCCCCCGAATAAAAACGCACATCCAGCAAATTGAGTATCCCTTAAATGGATCGATAGCAACGGGGGCTTCAAAATATTTATCTTCAGTCTAATTTAGGAACAACATACTTATCATAAGGAATAGGCATATAGGGATAAATTCTAGTCTCTTAAGGGGCGCGATTTCTCATCGCACACTACGTTTGTGATATGCAAAAGACTAGGTTCCCGAACTTATTAGAGATGTCTGCAGGCAGTGTGACCGTTTTGATCCAAGTGGATCAAAACTGATACATTTTTCGATGAATTTTGGAGAGATACTTTTTTTCCAGTTTTGATACTTTTCCAAATACAAATGAAAAAAATCTGTAAATTTTTATGCATTACAAAACATGTCGTGCACCTGTGGAAACGTACATCCAAAAGTTCATTGTTGTTCTCTGAACGAACCTTTCATGTATTGTGATTCATGGTCCGTGTCGAAAAAAGTCAAAATGGGAACAAACGAACAGTATCATAGCGCTGCATGTTTTTATTTTCGCTATATTCAATAACAGAAACTAGGGTTTGGTACTCGGTAATTCGGTGCTCGCTAAGGCCACAGGGGAACAACAATGTCGTGATAACCATTTGACAAAATATATTTCCAATGGATACCAATGGATATATTTCCAATTTGATAGTTTGACAGCCATATTTTCACTTGATTGAAAGCGTGCTGGTGGTTATATCGATGAAATACTAATATTAAATCAAAATAAGAATCTGTTCCCTATTGGATTATTTATGACAACGTTTTAGGAAGTTATTCAGTAAGTTTGTTTAAGATTTAAATGTTTTTAACACCGAAATTGAGAGAATGTTGTCTGGCGGTGTCATGCGGCAAATGCTTATAAATACATATCTAGACATCAAAGTGCCAACACACAACAGTTGGTAGGCAATAAAAATTGCAAGGTGCAACTGCAACTGAAATTGCGCAAATCGCACTCGGGAAATATTCATCAACTTGCTCGTGCAATAAATGTTAAATTGTTTTGAAAATGGGTTTTCATAAATGAAAAAAAGTGATACATATTGATACATTTTAAGTCTCTTTTCTGCTACAATTTTTCACAAGCCCGTGGTCACACTGTCCGCAGGCCGTACGTTATATGCAACATAATACAGCTTAACTCAGAGCCTACTAAGCTACCAAAAAATGGCACCAAAACAAATAGAACAGAAATTGACTGCACATCTTAACTTACATATACATATATGACAGAGCTGTAAAACTGTGAAATCATTTAAAATTTTAATCATGAAATATTTACAAGTAGGATTTCATTCATTTTCCTTTGGCCTGGTAGTGTGGCTTATATTTTTTTTCAATCTACAATCATTAAAAAAAAATTGATTTCACACAGTAAGGTAGTAAATACCTGAATGAAAAACTGAGAATGCTGAAGTAAACAGAATTCAATACTGAATTAGCTTCCAGATGAATGAACACTTTGCTATGTGTGCATTCTCTAATTCAGTTCCAATCAAATTTTATACACTAAGAAAAATATGTAAGTTTAAATGATGGAATAATGAGGTGTATGAACTTTAAAACGCTATTGACATATTGTCGCGTATCAATGCACAGCGGCCATGCGGGCTAAGCCATGTCCTACGAATGAATGGTTGTGCTTGGACTCCTCCACGCATGAAACGCAGCTTGATTCACATGAACTTATTGTACAAATTTATAGTTTTGGTTGCTTGAAAACTGAGTGAAAAATGTTCCAAGACAATTAGTATCTATAACTTTTTTCTTTTAAAGATTGGAAAATCTGCAGAACATGAAATAATCAAGCATAACAACCATCAAATGATAGCAGCTTTTATCATTCAGTCCATGGTTTATCCACATACATATAATGTCTTTTTTAAAATACATATGTGCCAATTTTCGCGCGGCCACCCTTTATGATCAGTTTTTATTTGAAAAGAACGATATTCTCATTTCCCAATACCAGGCGCTCATGCATGTGAAGTAACAAGTTTTCTATTTCTACGTACAAAATTGTTTGTATAAATTTTTAAATTTCCAAAATTCTACTTTGTACTGTTCAAAGGCTTCTACAAAACAATTTTATTTAAAAGTTCTACAAACAAATTTATACATATAGAAAGCTTGCTACTTCATATGTATGAGCGCCTGGTATTGAGAAATAAAAATATCTCTTTGTACAAATAAAAATTTAGTTCGTTAAATAAAATTGAGCGCAAGTTTCCTTTAAAAACATGCAGTTGGTTTTAAACAGCATTGACAGAACATCCAAAGCTGGTACGTACTTCTGGTCTTAGGTAATGCTTTACCATAGCAGTAGTACAAAAGCAGAAGTAAAACGACTATTAAAATTTACAATCACGATGATTGCGAATATTTTTGTTACATTCACATTCTATACTGAATGGAACTCTGCCATTCAACAACACATTACGTTTGTTTTTGTTTCAAAATAATTTAAGCCACTCAGGAATGAGGTTTGTTTTATACAGCCAAACAATCAAAATTTTGAAACGAGTGCCAAGTGAATGCAGATCCTACTGATTCAATCATTTTACAGCTCTGATATATAACTATAGACTGAAAAATGTTTTCTTCATAGATTTTAATGGGCTAGGCGGAATAGTGAAAGAAAAGAAAAAAGTGAAAGAGTGCTCATTCTTAACGGCCTATAAGTCAATCTTCAATGAACCTAAGAGTACTGACTGCATGTCATTCATTGAATATATGTACTCAGTTACACTTATTGCGGCAATCTGTCTTTAAGCCAATAAATTATTATGCAACACCAACCCCGAACGAAGAGAAAAGGCATTAATGCGCCAAAGCAGCAGTATATTTATGTATGCAAATTAATTTGTAAGAAATAAAGTGTGAAAGATAATTTCATCAAAGAAACCATAGTGACCTTAATACGTTTGTAAGACTGGAGATTAAAAGCTTAAATGCAAACTCAAACTTGTGTAGTAAATTGCGAACCCTCATAAGCGCACAATCATACATACGAGTATACATACATACATATGTATATGCAGATGATAAGAGCAATTGAGAATACAGATTTTAAGACCTTGATATGTAACAAATTACATATTTGTTCGTATAAAAATTTGTTATTCTAAATAAGTAATAGTAATTTAATTAGATTGATACGTTCTAATCGCGAACTTTTTGAACCCAGCGGCATTACAAACATTTCACACCTTGAGTCTGATGACTAGAGTCGGTTGCACTTTTCATAGATAAGCCTTTCCCAAATGCATGCATATGTACACTGGCGATCAAAAGTGGGTGTATGGTGTTTTTTTTTTAAATATTTGCAATGTTTTTTTGTTATTTTTTTTTATAAAAATATGGTTTCTGCTTTAATCAAAGACACATAAGCCAATCTTTCAAACTTTATACAGAACTTCTTAATCTGAATTTTTAGAAAATTTTTGGGTACGCAGGTACATTGGTTATTTAATTCTAGTAAAATGAATTGGTTTTTAATGATTTTTTTTTTATTGCTAACGGCTTTTACACTTTTTACTATATGAAAGTGAAATTCTTGTAGAATAAAATGCGCAAGACTGTTTGAAAAAAAATAACGCTATTTTTTTATAAATTGCAAAATCCATCGGCAAAAAGAATCATTAAAAATCAACGTGATTTTTTAGTCGCTTAAAACTTGCACTCTTTTTATTAGAATTACATAACCGATGTACCTGCATACCCAGAATTTTTCTAAGTATTCAGAAACTTAGATGTAGTTCTGTAAAAAGCTTGAAAGTTTGGTTTATGTGGTTTTGATTAAACCATAAACCATATTTTTATAAAAAAAACATAACAAAAAAAATTTCTCTTGAAAAACATTGCAAATATTTAACAAAAAACACTATGCACTCACTTTTGATCGCCAGTGTATCTACATAGGCACATACATACATATCTAGTTTATAAAAAATACTCAAAAAAACTTTTTTAAGTAATGATTTTTGTTGAATTGTGAAAAACACGTATTTTCTTGATTTGACGTAAAAAAAGAGAGTGAACGGATGTTAGTGTAGTTTACTATTATAAAATAAAAAAAGTATTTAAGGGTTGCCTGCATCCGAGAAAATAACGTAGTATATGCTTTGCCAGAGTACTTCCCGCTATACTAAATAAGCGATCCCTATTAGACTATTTGATTCTCTTTCAAGTTTACACACTGCCGTCTCGTCTCAGTAGATGTGATAG